TATATATATATCTACTTAATTAATTAAGTGCTACGAAAATTTATATATACTCTAGAAATTTGATATATTAAAATTAAAATATTAAATTTATTTATTCACAGCTACATATTGTATACATTGAATAGATATATTTTTCTGTATCGTTTTATATTTATTGTATAGCTTTCGTTATTGAATACGTTTATTTGACACCTTTTTGAGTGTAGAATAAAGGATATATGTATACATATTTATTTACTGATAATATTACAAGTGTGTATGAATGAACGGGTATGCGTGCGCGCATCGTAATCGTTAAGAAATTGTAAATATTATATAGGAAAATATTTAATTATATAATTTGTTTGTTTTTAATTTATAAACTTTCTTCCACTTGCCAAATAACAATAAAAAAAAAAAACAATAATTTTGTGCATATTAACAAAATATTTTAGGTATTATTTGATAAAATTATCATTTATAAAATTGAATAGTTTGGTTGAAATGTTTCTAGAAGTTGAATTATACTCATTTGAATGTTCAGTAATGCATCTCTCTCTCTCTCTCTCTTCAGGCCGATGTACGCGAAGATGAGGAACAAACCACTAAATTTCAAGAGATTATTGACTTACTCATTGCAGCAGGTTATTTTAGAGCACGGATAAAAGGTTTATCAAATTTTGATAAGGTTTGTGAATTATTTTTAATTTTATTTTTACTTTATATATAGTTTTATAAATAATATATTGGAATAGGTTATCGGTGGAATGACTTGGTGTATCAAATCATGCAACTTTGATGTAGATGTGGATTTACTTTTCCAAGAGAATCTTACCATCGGTCAAAAAATGTATGTATATTTTATATATATTTAAAAATTTTAATTTTTATTAATTTTTATTGATGCATGAGAGTTATAAAATCGCATCTTTTAAAATATAGAAATTGTCTTTAAAAATAACTTCTATATGTTTCATAAAATGTGTTGCAGTTCCTTAACAGAGAAAATTGTAGCCATGCTTCCTAAAATGAACTGTCCATACCGAATAGAGCCACATCAAATACAAGGTTTAGATTGTATTCATATATTCCCAGTTATTCAATGGTTAGTGAAACGTTCTATGGAAATGCGGCAAGAAATGGCAGGTTTTGTGAGAAGTTTTGCATTGAATCAATTTAATAAGAAGCATTCGTTTAGCGAGCATGTCGAAAATGGAGCGACAACTAACAAAACTGTTATTAAAAATTTACATTTGATCAAGGTGTGATTTATTTCTAGAGAAACATACAGATATATGGCTAATACATATATATCTGCAATTTTATATTTCTTTGAGAAATATATTTTAGATATATAGTTAATATAATTTTACATTTATGATAGAAAGCCTATGAACCACGACGTTTATTCAAACAAAAAGAAGGTTTTATCAAAGATGAATCAAGCAGATTTATTGGAACAGTACTGGAATATGAAGCACCCTTTGATGCTATTAAAACTACATCAGTATTGACAAAATCTAAAAGCAACAATTCAAAACACGAATTGAATAATGATAAAAATGGAAAAGTATGAATCATTTTTATTATTTTTAGATTTATCAATTTATTAGTATTATTAGAAAGATTGATATAATAGTTAATATTTTTATAGAACACTACTGAACATATTACTGCTGCTTTAGCCATCATAGAAGAAAATTCGGTATGTAGAATTAAAAAAATATATAATAGAAGTTTTAAGCTTGTTTTAAATAACAATTTCTTTTGGATAAATTTTAATATGAAGAAATTTTTAGGTTAAAAACTTTTTACTAACAATAAATGCACAATATATATATATGCTTATATTTCTTATACATAGCATAAGCTTGAAAATTTTATATAAAAATTATATTTTTACTTTATTTTAATTATTAATTTAATGTTTTAATCCAGATGCGTTTAAGTGTAAATACGGTTGGAAATATAGTTGACATACAAGTACAAGAAATTGCCAAAGCGACAGAAAAATATGCGGCCATGTCTATTTCTAAAGCAAAGGTAAATTTTTGTATAGAATACGCGAGATTTTTATGTAATATAATTGAAGTATAAGATAAAATATAAATTTATGATTTTATTTACCCTTTTATTGATATAGAATAGTGGCACAACTGATTTGTCACATGCTTTAATTGCATTACACAAACAAAAAGCAACGTTGCAATCTAGAATCTGCAAGTTAACAAAGGAGAGAGATGGCTTATCGAATAAACTCATAGAAATAATAGAAAAAATAAAAGAACATCGTGCAAAAAGAGAAGCTGTTGAGAATTCATTCAAAAAAATCCAAGAAATTGGAATTAATGATAATGATAGGTATTTAGGAGTAATAAAATTATGACTTTAATCATTAATATTAAATTATACATTAATAATTGTTTTATATATATTATACAAAATAAGCTATTCTTTCAGTGTTTTTAAACAATTAGAAGAACTTCTCTCTGTACATGATGGATTGAAAGAACAAGAACACAATTTCCGAGAGCAATGCAAGTCGGACCTAAATCTTTTTCGCGGTATGTTACAAGAAGTTGAAGATGATGCTCCAGCAGAAGAAGAAGATTGTGTCAAAGAATATAAAGAACAAAAGGAGGCTGTAATACGAATGCGATTACAGCTGGCAAAAAAGAATAGAATTATTGCGTCCTTGATGAGACAAATGGATGATGTTCCAGGACGTTCTGAACTGACGCAATATCAACGACGCTTTATGGAACTTTATAATCAAGGTTAAATAGGTTTATTTTAATTCATGAACACATAAGATTAATACGTTGCAATATAAAATTAAGTTGATAAAATTAATTTCGAAAAATTCTGATTAAAAAATTATTATTGCAGTTTCAGCCAAGCACAAAGAAACTAAACAATATTATACATTATATAATACTCTTGATGATACAAAACTATATATAAGTAAGGAATTATCATTGCTAAATTCTATTCAGGATAATTACAATGAGTATGTGTCACACAAATGTTAATGGCATTAAAAATATTTTTTTTTTTAATAATATATATAATTTACAATAGAGCTATGGCATCATCAAGTGGCAAGGAACAATTCCTGAAACAATTTGAGACAATTGTTGCTGGAGTGAAACGCAACAAAGGAATGGTAATATACAAAATGATGAATCAATGATTAATTAAGTTAATGTTGCAGATAAAAAAAAATCTAATTTTTTATTTAGGTAGAAAAACGATGTACTGATGAAAAAAATCGACGAGATGCGCTCAGTCGACAACTCGTTATTCTTGTAGAGCAACAACGTAAATACGTTGCGGCAGTCAGACAGCTCACTATTGAATGCCGCAAGAATGAGGCTTTATTAGCTCAACTTCGTGGTCCATAAGTTTCTTTTTACTTCTCAAGTGGAAATCAGATTGACAACTATTTGTAAACTTGCAATATAAAATTATATATAATTTAAAAAAGGCTAATTATTATATATACAAATATAAATATATATATAAATAAAATAGAAATATTATATAATATATGATGATAGTCATTACAATGCCAAAAATATTTTTACTACATATATATAGACATGTAGTGCGCATGTATGTATATCTTATTCCTAGCTTTTTCCTTAATGTCCTAATGGTCTCTATAGCCCTAACAATTCTACTTGCTGGCTGAATCAACGGAGATTTGGAGAACGTATTCCTAGCCGCGCGCCCTACTCGCGTGCCCTAATCGTATCTTATGTACCTCCCGCTACGCATTTTGGCCAGAATTGGCCGCTTATTTTGCGTAGCCTACATCCATTCTTCAGGCCAGTTGGACCTACTTTTCGTTGTTCCTGGCCACTTTCTGGATCGATCTCTAATCAGAGATCAAAAAAGGAGATGCACACTCCTTTTAGCACCGGCTATTTATTGTCGCCGGCGAATAAGTGCAAGATTTTTCTTGCGCTGATAAGGAGATAAACTCCTTTTGCCGGGTAATTATTGCCGCTAGCAGATGAGCGTAAACATTTCACGCTCGTTGACGATCATGTAATTTTATGATCGTTCGTTAGACGTTCATAACTTTATTTTAACTGAGACAAAACCAAGTTATTAATCAAAATTTTGATTAAAAAATTACGATGAATGATAAATATATAAATTTGATTAAAATTTATATATTAATATATAATTTATGTAATAATATAATAATATATAGAATAATAATATATAATATTAATTTATATAATAATATATAATTTATAATAAAATAAGATTAATTTATAAATGGCATAACATTTATGCCATTTATTATTATATTACATATGATTTAATTGATTAATTATTTGGTCTTATATCAGTTAAAACAAAGTTTAAGAACAGTATCTAGAAACAAATTCTACGATATGGATGAGCTATAAGAAGTTAGGATAAGATCGGCGCGCTTTATAAGAATAAGTTACCATCACACGTATATAATTGATAAAATTACTAGCACTCTAAAATCTACAAATTGAAAACAAATGTTTTCTAAAATTTTCCTTCTTTAATTTAGACTTTGATTTACTTTTGCAATAGATGCAACGCATATCAAAAAAACTTATTAAAAGTTATTCAACTTAATCTGTTTTAGCTCATCCATTAAAAAGTAACGGATTTATCTACAATCTATAATCTACAATCTACATCTACAATCTCTACAAATCCGTTACTTTAAAGTTAAATAAAAGTTTGTCACTCACCGGCACTGACGCGCAACAGCGGAGTTGTTGGACTTGAGGCTACGTTGTCTGTAACATACAAATATAAAATTCAAATTATAGCAGCGCCCAAAATATAATTAATATTTCAAAAAATTATTATTTCACATGCCGAATTTTATATCCTATGCGTACGATAATAAGCAGATACATAAATATAAAACAATTTTATAAATTTTAAAAGGACTATTTTTTTTAATAATAAAAACATTTATCGGATTTATATAAAAATATCTCTTTTTAATTTTCTCTTGTTTAATTCATTCAAATAATGAGACCGATTTAATGCGCGTACGCGATTTTTAACAACTAATATACAAATAATCAATACTCACCCTTGGGTTGCTCCGCCGGTGCAGGATATGCCTTTCCTAGGCCTCCTCCTCCTCTCAGAATGTCAGGATCGTTACATTGATCTGTAACATACAAATAGAAGATCCAAATTATAGCAGCGCTCAATTAAATTGTACGTAAATTGTACGCAATTAATAAATAATTAATATACAAATAACACATTACTTACCAAAGGGTTGTTCCACCGGTACCCGATGCCTCTCCTAGGCCTCCTCCTCCTCTCAGGTTGATTCACACGCGCGATACTTTAAACGGCACTCCCGCACTTTTATTAAAAGATTACTTCCGCACTTATATACGCGCGATACTTTGAACGACTCTCCCGCACTTTCGAATTTTGGCACGATCGAACCCCGCTTCACGTGTAACCCGAAGACGCGACGACGCGAAAACGCGATACCGCGACAATGCGAAAGATAAAGCATCGAACAAAATAAATTTAAATTGAAGTATTTTTGAAGAAATAATTATTGCTTATAAGGATCGCAACAAAACAATAATTCATAATTTTGATTTTTTCTGTCACTTCGATTCTTGATTAAATGTGTATATACGTCACGCGAAATGCGCTCTTCGAAACCTATCGTAGCGATATAATTACGTTTATAATATTAAATTATATAATTATTATTTAAGATATATAAAAAGTAACTAATTATTAATCTTATCAAATTATTTCCCGATACTTGTCGTGATTGCGTTTAGGAAAGAAATTTAACGGAGTGTCTCGCACTGTTACTTTACTGCTCGAGTGTTGCCGTGCGAATCATAACACGTAGGAAAAGAATTTGAGCGTCTCGCCCCACTACAGTTCTATTCAAGTGTCGCTGTATGAATGATAACAAAGCTGTGATACGTAAACAATAGCGCGCCAATGTTTACGTCGCCAAGGCCGAATACCATGTTAGGTACTGCTAATTCGTTGCCGAAATATTTTACGTACTATAAAATATATGCGAAATATTAAATTATATAAGTATTTTAAATTATGGATCAATTATTTATTAAACGATTGATGTATCACGGAGCTTATCGTTATGTTAATTAATTGCGATTTTGCGATTCGAGGAGTATCTTAATTTATAGATTAATTATTTATTTAACGGTTAACGTATCACGAAGTCTTTCGTTATGCTAATTAGTCGATCCTGCGATTCTATTGTTTAATTGCGCGTTCTCAATCCAAATTGTATTTAAATAATCGAAAAGTTGTACGAGAGAGATAGAGTATAGGACAAAATATTTTTACTCTAAGTTTCGATAAAAAAATAGTTATTGTTCGTAAGGATCGCAACAAAACAATAATTTATAATTTAGATAATTTAATTTTTTCTTTCACTTCGATTCTTACTTTGAGAAAGATTCTTACTTGCATTTTATCGGTTTGAGAATAATTGTAATGGATTAATGAGATCTTTGCAACTAAAATAACATCAAACACAACATAAATCAGATAATTTTTAGTTAAATTAATAATAAAAATTTTGATCACATATTTAATTAAAAATTATACGGTTTATGTCGTGTTTGGCATCATTTTAATCACAAAAGAATCATTAACCATTAAAATTATTTTTAAACAGGCATAATATAAAAGTTTTATTTTCTATGGTAATTTAACACATATATGTGATATACTATACCTATATAAAAAAATAAGCCCATATAAGAGACTTCGAAACTCTTTGACGATACGTCATCTTTACTCATTCTCGCTCTCGTTTTCGATGACATCAGAGACTTTTATTTATCTATAATAATTTATCTATAATATTCAAAAATCTTATGTAATAAAAACTAAAACATTTGTTTTATTTTAAAAAGTAATTTTTTGAAAATAACTTTAATGGATTAATGAGATTTTTACGATTAAAATTATATCAAATATGATATAATTCGAATAATTTTTACTTAGATAAAGAAAAAATTTTTTATCTAATTTTTAAATTTGTATCTAATTAAAATTTATTCGGATAATGTCACGTTTTTTTTGTCATTTCATTTGCAAAAATCTTATCAATCATGGCGGTACTTTGTCAATCTGGTAACTTTAAACTAGAAAAAGCGTCTTTCGAAAAACGGCGGCGTGACCCGTCTAGGCTTCTCTCTGGCATAGCTTATAGATTTTGGACAGATGTAGAGTATACACCAATCACGAACAGCTTTTCATTGAGCGTTCAATAAGCGGTGCTGTACTAAAAGCACCCTATAACCCTATATCGCTGAAAAGCGACAGTGCAATATATGAAAAGGTACCTTTATGCCTATGGATATGGAATTTCGTGTGCGATAAACTTTCAATATACGACTGATTAAGGTTATGCCTTATAAATTTTTAAATTGTGCCAGAGGCATGTTCTCTTTGTATAGGAATGGGAATTATAATAGATTTGTATAGACTTAAAATGTAACAAAATTCAAGGATTTTTTATCGAGTTGTGAACAATTACGTAGTCTCAAACGATAGAAAAAGAAAATGAAGCTAGTCAAACCGAATTGGGTTACTCATGATGGTTTGTAAAGTATATTGTATTTGCATGATATATTTTGAATAGTTACAATTCTCTCTTTTACTGACCTAATATTAATTATTTTTTTTATCAGGATATCCAATATTTTCCATCGATATACATCCTGATGGGAAAAGATTTGCAACTGGTGGTCAAGGTATCTTGTTTTCTTCCTTTTAGCTATCCTATTTTTTCAATAAATATTATATATTTGTTAAATTAAAATAATAATAATAGTCATATATATATATAATGTTAGAGTAATACTTAATATTCTGTTCTTATTTTTTACACATTGTTACATTCAAACATTAGGTGGTGATTCTGGAAGAGTTGTTATATGGAACATGGAACCAGTAATTAATGAGAGTGCTGAATTGGATTCTAATGTTCCAAAAATGCTTTGCCAATTAGATAATCATCTTGGTAAAAATTTATTTTATCTTCTATTATAAATTGATATGTATGTATATAAAAATTATATATATAAGAGTTGTTCATGGAACCAGTAATTAATGAGAGTGCTGAATTGGATTCTAATGTTCCAAAAATGCTTTGCCAATTAGATAATCATCTTGTCATCTTGGTATTTTATCTTCTATTATAAATTGATATGTATGTATATAAAAATTATATATATATATATATATATATGTTTAATGATAATATTAAAAATTAGATATATACGGAGAGACTACGTCATAACGGAAAACTTGGCTAAATTGAAATCAAATTTTAAATTCACTGGAGAGAGATATGTGGTAAGCGCGTGATGCCAGGTACGCCCTGTATGTGACGGCACGCATCGATCCACTGATATATAGATTGAATATATGATTCTTCGCGTTTAAGTTCTCCGCGTCCTAAATTCCACGCTTCAGGGCTTTTCTTCCGCGGCGGCGCTTATCTTACGCGCCATCGA